TTAGCACCCTATAAGTGCCCATACACGTGGATGCTATCACTGACTTTTGATTTATTTTATCTGCATTGTATTGTTCCATTTATCAATAACCAGCAAACTTAATTGCCTCTGTTCTCCCCTAGGTGTTCCTGTTGTCTTTTACACTTATCATTTTTCCAAGTATCAACCCTTTTGGTGCAAAGCTGGGGTCCCAGGACGAGTCATACAGTGGTGAGAATTTTTTAAAACAATTTATAAAAACATCAGTCCTTTTGGCTGAAATACCTGACCTTGAATTCTTGCTCTGCTTAATGGCCATTTGTTCATTTCATACTTGCCTGTTCAGATATTCCTAAACACCTGCACCAGGTTTCCAAGATGAAGAGTGAAGAAGTGTTAAACTTCAAAATAGCATGATTATTAAAAAATCAGCAGCAAAGTTGTGTTTCTTGGAAACTTCAATTTTACATGGGATCTATACTGAATTCTTCTCGAGATGAGTTGGGGTTTTGTTTCCTTGATAGTCATTCAAGTGTGGAATGCTGTTCGCCTTCAGGGCTGGGAGGAGACTGGGTCTTTTAAATTTATTCAGGAATGGTTGGCACAATGGCTCAGTAGTTAGCAGTGCAGCCTCACAGAGCCAGCGACTTGAGTTTGATTCCATCCCAGGCAACTATCTGCATGCAGTTTGCACGTTCTCCCTGTGTCTGCATGGGTTTCCTCCGTGTGCTCCGGTTTCCTCCCAAAGATGTGCAGGACACAATTGCCCATTGTGTCCGGGAATGTGCAGGCTAGGTGGATTAGCCATGGGAAATGCAAAGTTATGGGATAGGGTGGGGTTTGTGGATTTGGGTGGGATGCTGTTCAGAGGGTCATTATGGACTTGATGGGCGAAATGGCCTGTTTCCACACTGTAGGGATTCTATGATTCTATAATGAACTAGACAGGTATTTGATAAACAGTGGAGTCAAGAATTATGGGGTGCTCACAGGAAGGTAGATCTGAGACCACAACCAAAATCAGCCATGGATGGAGTGGTCAAGCAGACTCCAAGGGCCGAATGGCCTACTCCTATGTTCTATATCCTATGTTCCTAACTGTATGTATGAGGCAAAAACTCGCTGCTTTACACTTTACAATATTGCCGTACATGTCATGTGTTCAATTTAAAAGGTGTAAATCACCACTTTCCACAGCTGTTTCTTCAATTCTATGGGACCAAAAAATCGGAGGGCATAATCTCAGATAAAGGGGTCTAGGACAGAGTTGAGGAGAATTTCTTCTCTTGTGGTGGTGTAGAGGTAATGGTGAATTTGTGGAATTCTTGACTGTGGAGAGCTGTAGAGACAAGGTCATTAAGTATTTTCAAGGCTGCGATAGACAGATGTTTAATTAGGAAGAGAATCAAAGGTTAAGGGGAAAAGTGAGAAAAATGGAGTTTAGGATTATCAAATTAGTCTTGATCTCACTGAATGACAAAGCAGACTCAATGGGCTGAATGGCCTACTTCTGCTTCTACAGCTTAACTTCTCAGAACTGCAACTACTACAAACCAAAAGAGTATTTTACCTCTGAAACTTATCCAGAAAATATGTGTGTTTGTGTGCAAAAAGCTTCTTTAATTTGATATGTGAGTTTGAATGGTTTTATTTCAGCAGTGGTGCTCTATTTCAATAAAACTCCACCAATTTATTGTAACTGTTACTGATGTTAACACAGCTGTTCAATTGGAGTTACAGCTGTGTAAATTCACTATGTTACCTGGTTTCAAAAAGTAAACCAATGATGTTTGTATCCATTGTCTGAAAATAATCTTGTTAACACATTTATAATGTAAAATAAAATCTATAAATTTAGGGTGTGTGTAGTTTTGTTCAAAGGTAACCTTCAATCTGAAGGTAACCTATAATTGATTGTCATATTAGTAGCTATCACCAGCCAATGAATTTATGGTTTATCTGTGATGTCACTCTGCTGCGTACCTGATCCTAGGCTTCCATTTATCCTGTTTGAAAAAAAAACCTTATAACGCTGAGTCAAAAAAAGCAAGTCAAAAACACCTCTTCCCCTACGCACCAAATTCTCATGCTACTTCCAAATTCCCTGAACTACACATTCACTCAGGCTATGTCTTACTCTGGATAGGATCTCTCCTTCCTGACCACATGCAGCTTATTCAGTAAACTGTTACCCAAAATAAGAAATTGCTTTATACTGGCTGTTACAAATCATCTAGTTCTGTGGAATGTGTGCATTGTTTTATCGATTAAAATGACTAGTTCCTTTCCTCAATTATAGTTCTTTCCAGGACTTTACTCGACAGTGAATCATCTCACATGCGTGTGGTGCCAAACACCTACAATCCGGATGCTGATTCAGACAAAATGGAAAAGAATCAAGGCTTAGATCGAGAAATTCCTCAGATGTTATTGTCAGGAAGTCAGAACAGCACACCCGAAGCTTCTGACTTGTCAATCAAGTCAACACTGAACAGCAATTCCTCTTCAGACATAGATAGAATAGTGAAAACTACCGCCCAAGATGACACAAGCCTGGGCAGGGCGGCATCAGGAAATGAAAAAGGCAGTGGCTATGGCATCTCTCCTTCAACAGTGAACACACCAAACTGGACAGAGCACACTGCAACAGTAATCATAAAAGCACATCCACGGTCAGATGAAATGTAGCAGAGTGTTTCCTGTCAGTGAATTATGAATTGTACATAATTTGTTTTTGAAATGGAGGAGTAAAATGAACGTGTGTCTTTCATGTACATAGATACCATTGGAGGTTTGCTCTTTTACTTAATAAGTAAAAAAAACTCAGCATCGTTTATGCGAGTGGGTTGACATTTTTTTTAATTCTTATAAATTGCATAGTCTCTTTAGCGTGATAAAGTGGCAGTTACCAAAAATTATGTTTTGTAGCCAGTACAAATAATTAAATACTGCAATATCATGTTATGGGTTCATAAGTTCGTCTAACTCTTTTAGAAACATTGTTCTATATTTTGAACATGTGTTTCCTGTTTCCTCCCTCCTCAAGTTCCTCATAGAAGTAGCCTCTCCAGTTCCTGAGCTGCTGATTCATCGTGTTGTATTACTCCATTTGAAATGCAGTGTGTTTTAGAATGTGCACCTGGATTTGTTTGTTTGAAAGAATCAACTCCCTTTTCTATAAATCTCTCAACCAACCCTTCTTGCCTTTGTTGCAGTTCCCTTTGCCCATTGGCAATGTATTGTTACAGCTATGGCGACAGAGTTTTGTGAAGCTCATCTCTTTAATATACTTCTTCCTTCAGTGTGTTCTTTCTACCATGTATTCATTTCCTGTTCATTATCTGGCTATTAGCTCCTGACTTATTTTTAACCAAGCCTCTCGCAATCATTCATACAGAGTATTAGGGTTTACCAAGGCATAACTGCTCTCAGTACTTCTTCATCTGATGGGATGAGCAACAGCCTCATCTTGGCATCAAATGTTTATGCTTCAAAATGATCATAACAGGAGCATAACAATCTAAATTTCTTTCTCTTGCCCTGTTTGCTACCAGCACCTCCTTGTTTCTGTTAACCTTGCCTTATGTTGTAAAACAGTCCAGCATATAACTTGGTGCCTAATCACAAGTTTAGTATGTGAATGTGAAATATGACATTTGACATATGACGAGAAACAGGAGTAAACCATTCGGCCACTCAAGCCTATTGTACTATTCAGTTAAATGTTGGCTGATCTGAGTGTTAATTTCATTTACCCACTTTCACCTGACCTAACAAAAAGCTATCAATTTAAATTCTGAAATTCCCAATTTATCTAACCTCAACAGCTTTTTTAGGGAAAAGTGTTCCTGATTTTTGCTACCCATCATGTAAAGTATACTCAAAATCTGAAGATTAATGCCTGAACTATTACGTTAAGGGATTGATGGGTCACTAGTAATTTCAAAACATTTTGAGGCAGCAGAACCCATGCAGGCCTTTTAATCACAATTCCTTATTTTGTTTGCCTTTACCTTTTCAGTGCTATCAACTCTGCTTGACGTTCCCCACCACTGGAGGTGCCATTATAAGTCTTGGATAGGTTCAGTCTGCAAGTAACTTAATCATTTAATAATTAATTAATGAAGAAGGGCTATCCAAGATAATACTTCTACATTTACAGAAATATAAAGTCTGTTGCGTTTAGTGATGGTTTTGTGCCATTCAGATTACAAGGCATTTGCAATGCTACATGCTGCAATATGTTATCAATCTTCATAAGATTAAATTGCTGTACCATGTTAGACTTCGCAGTGAAGGAGCTGATTATCCTATAAATGTTTCTCAGCCTTTAGGAATTCAATTTAAAGTCAGAGGTTTTAATATTCAGCGCACTCGGTTTTTCAGTATTTGTGAGATTCTCTTAGGCAATATATCGTATCACCTGCTTTGCCTTTTTATGTAAGATCTGCACTGTCTGGCTTTGTTTAATTTGAGATTTTCACCTACTTCTGAATGATGCTGTAACCCCTCTCTTTACTGTTTTGATGGGATATGCTATCTTCCTGCAAGATGTTCATTTTCCGTTACACTAAGCTGACAATTTCATTTTGTACTTTAAGACTGGCAGGCTTCCAGTGGCAGGTCAGATCACTTCCTCTGAGCACACAACCTAGTTTCCCAACCCCCATTCCTCACCAACATGTTCTTTGACCTCATGTCCTGTAATCAAGCTGTTCATCACCAAACCACAGTCCAATGTCATTAATTTCCCATCTCTTTCTCACATCGCTTTTCCTTCCCCTCTCATAGCCCCTAAACAAGCCAGACTTCAACATTTTGTTTTTATTCATTCACAGATGAGAGGGTCACTGGCTAGGCCAGCATTTATTGTGCATCTGTAATTACTCAGAGGGCAGTTGGGAGTTAACTATATTGTTGTGGGCCTGGAGTCACATGTAGGCCAGACCAGGTGAGAATGGCAGTTTCCTTCCCTAAAGGTGGGTTTTTCCTGACAATCAACAATGGTTTCATGGTCATTATTGGACTTTTATTTCAGATTTTTATTGAATTCAAATTCCACCATCTGCCATGAACATTATCTGGGTGTCCAGGCTAATGATCTTAGCGATAATTGCACAAGGCCATTGCCTTTCCTCAAACATCAACATCCTCTTGAACTACTGCCCTATCTTCCTGCTTGGTCATAAAGTACCGTGGGATGCTTTGTAATGTTAACGGCACCATATAAATGCTTTTATTTTTCTTTCAATCTTTTAGCTGCTTTCAAAGTGGCTTCACCTTTTTTTTTAAATCAGATCAACTGTGGCCTGAAATCAAAAACAGAAATGATTCAATTTGGGATTTGTCTGTTTTGCAGAAGGGTGGGGTGTAAGCGTATAGGAAATACACATCATAAAATTTGACTCTGTGCTTGCTGGCAGCTATTTGGCATGTAAATATATTGTGTATCTGTAAATAACTATTAAAAGTGAAAAGTACTGTATGGAAGCCCAGTGTACATTAGTTAAAAGCATTCAGTGAATTGCGTAAGTTGAAAATCTAAAATAAAAACTGTTACAGCCCATATTTTCTTATGATCTGTTATAGTGCGCTCAATTGGAATACCCGAACCTTGTTTTAGGAACTGTTTAATATTTTACACACGCTTACCTTCAGCTGAGCTTTCATTAGCTGTAACTGTCGTGTTACCATTCCCCATTCTATCATATTAGGTAATATACAGCATTAAATTGCTTTTAAAAACTAAGTAACGAGAATTACTTTAAAGTCGATGGGTGAAAAGCAGCACTTGTCATTTTCAATGTTATTTTCAACTTTTAAAGCTAGTTTATTTGTTCAAAGCTCTAATATAACTGCAGTGACTGTTTTGGGAATATTGTAGTCATACTGCACTGAATGTCTTTTCTATGATTGCATTAATTCCTGCCTGATGCTTTTCTTCAGCTGACTGAATCTGCTGGAGTTTTAGAATATATCTGCGTTGTTGCTCTCAGTATGTGAGACTTCTGCACATATTAAAACATAATTTTGAAAATTTACATTTTAAGTAAATCATTTGGGCATTAAATATGTGTTGCTTTATGATTTGTACTGTTCACATATAATTTACTGTTTCCCCAAAGCAAACTTTTTGTAGCTCCCTGTTAATAATACCCCATTGTTCTGCATTACAGCTTCCATCATTGGCCACAGCCCACTGAGTGAACAAAGAGCTTTGCTTCAAATTGGTGTTGTTCACACACTACTGATCCTGTGGCACAGAACCTCATGGAATTTTTCCAAAGTAAATTCTAAATTGCAGAACACCGAGTGCTACTTGGAGACATTAGCAGCTTGAGAAGTCAGGAATCCTTTACCAACATGCTTGATGGAAATTTGTGCCTGTGAATATTAAGCAGGATAAAATTAGGTTCAGTTATAAAGCCCTGTTAAATGTCTTTTATTGATTCATTTATGGGCTGTGGGCATTGTTGGCTGGGCCAGCATTTGTTGCCCATCCTGAACTGTTCTTGAGAAGATGGTGTGAGCTGCCTTCTTGAGCCACTGCAATCCAGTAGGAACACAAATAAAGCCATTAGGGAGGAAATTCCAGGAATTTGACCCATTGACATTGAAGTAACGATGACATATTTCTAAGTCAGGATGGTGTATCGCTTGGTGGGGAATTTTCCGTGTTGTTCCCTGCTGCCTTAGATGTCATGGATTTGGAAGGTGCTGTTGAAGGAGCTTTGATGAATTGTTGCAATGCATCTGTTAGATGCTGCCACTGTGCATCTTTGATGGTTAAAGGTCTTTTGGATGGGATACCAGTATAGAGGCTGTTTTATCTGGATGATATCAAGCTTCTTGAGTGTTGGAGCTGCAATCATTCAGGAAAGTGGAGAGGATTCTGTTCTATTCCTGACATTCCTTGGAAATGGTGGACATTGTGCAGACCCAGAGGTGAGTTACTTCCTCAGATTTTCCAGCCTCCAACCTGTCCTAGCCACAATATATGTATGGCTGGTTAGTTTGGCTTCCAGTCGATGGTAACGCCCAGGATGTTGGCAGAAAGTGGCAGTGGCAATGCACTTAAATATCACATGGAGATCTTTGAATCACTATTGTTAGAGACAGTCATTGCCTGGCAATCATGTGGCCAAATGTTACTTGCTGTTTATCAACCCTAGCCTGAATGTTGATAAGGTCCTGCTACATATGGAAGTGTACTGCTTCAGTATCTGAGGAATCATGAATGAAGATGAATATTGTGTAATCATCGAACATCCCTATTTCTAACCTTACGAAGGAGATCGTAATCAATCAAAACAATCAAAAGATGGTTGAACCTAGCTAGGACACTTCCCTGATGAACTACTGCAACAATTTCCTAGGTTTGAGATGACTGACATTTTTCTTCATTCAGGAGATGTTGGCTTCCTTGGCTGGGCCAGTGATTAAAGACAGAACCTGTTTGACTATTCTCAATAAATCACCCCTTTTATCCCAGGAATCAGCCTAGTGAATCTCTTCGGAATTGCCTCCAATGCCAGTAGGCCCTTCCTCAAGGACAAGTACACGGCAGTCAGAATTCCAGGTGTGGCTTCACCAGTGCCCTGTAGAGTTGGAACAAGACTTCACTATTTTTAAATATACAACCACCTAACAGCAAAACCCAAAGTTCCATTTGTCTCCTTAATTACTTGCTGCACCTGCATGCAAGCATTTTTTAAATGCAGAAAAACACCCAGATCCCTCTGTACTGCACATTTTTGGAGTCTCCCCATTTATATAATGGTCTGCCCTTGATTGATCTAACGAAAATGCAGGCCCTCACATGGTCTTGCATTAAACTCTGCCATTGCTCTTTCGCCATACCTGATGGAAAAATACCTAGAACTTATTCTTGCAAATGTTCCATCTCTTTTAAACTTTGGATTTTCTGTGATTATGGGTGAAGTTATAATTTTCATTTTAACGCAATTATTAGCTAGGTTACACTGGTAATTTTGGAACAAATCCGACTTTCACTGTTCCAGACATGAAAGCGTATTCTAAGGGTACTTTATACAATTGAACAAGTATATAATCTCCACTTATTCCATTTATTAAACCATTGGCTTTCAATCCACTCTCTGGAGGAAAAACAGGTTCTTCCCCAGCAAAAGAGTTGAGCAGTATCTGTATCCCTTAAGATGATTATGGACTTAACTGTATGACTTGAAGAATAAGGGGTTACCTTTCCTCTGGACAAAAATCCTGTATTTTTTTTATTCACTCATGGGATGTGGGCTTTGCTGGCTGGCCAGTATTTATTGCCGTCCCTATCTGCCCATGAACTGAATGGTTTGTTAGGCCATTTCAGAGGGCACTTAAGAGTCAATCACATTGCTGTGGGTCTGGAGTCACATGTAGGCCAGACCAGGTAAGGATGGCAGATTTCTTTCCCTGAAAGACATTAGTGAGCCAGATGGTTTTGTTTTTTTCCTACAATTGATAATGTTTTAATAGTCATCAGTAGATTTTTAATTCCAGATTTTTATTTTATCGAATCGAAATTCCATTATCTGCCACGGTGGGATTTGAACCCAGATTCCCAGAACATTAACTAAGTTTCTATGCCACTAGACCATTGTCTGCCTTTTTCTACTTTATTCACATCTCCTGCAGCTCTGTGATATCATTACAAGATTGCTTCAGAGTCCTAAAGCCATTCAGCAACTACCACCAGCCCAGGGTGCAGGGTTGGGGGTTGGGGGGGTGGAATGGGGGGAGGGAGGTGAACAGCAAGTTATGGCTGTCAGGAATAGGATTTTGTTTCAAGATTGTTTGGATTTCAGTTGGGTCACAGCCTACCAAGAGAAAGAAGCTATCCAGCTCAGCTTCTACTTTTCTGTAAAAAGCCCTCGATGTAAGTTCAATATGGGAACTGAATGCAGCTGTTCTCCTGAGAATTATCTGACAGAATTCTTCTCAACAATTCCAGAGTGAAATGCATCTGCAAAGGTCCCACAGAGATAACTGCCCATGCTTGGTGACACCCATCTGCATGTGGTAGGATGCTGACTGAAAGTCAGTTTGAAAATTTCACACTCTAATCTTGTTTCCTGTGACAGATAATATTATGATTGGTCAATTTACTATCTCTTTTTCAAACTCAACCTCTGCAGGGAAAGTCGTTATATTTTCTTTAGTTGGTGAGTGCTTGTTGGTTTATTTAGTGGGATAAATATTTATACTTTCATATTTCACACTGAGTGTTAACCTGCTCTGCATCAGTGCTGAATATATCATGCTTTTGCTGTTTATTACAATACCTTACTGATAGATTTTTTTTCCTCTAAGCCTATTGTAGAGAAAATATACAATTTGCCTGCTCTGCATCTTGGCAATTTAAATATATGTTGTGCCTCTGAAGTATTGAGACTGTAGAGAGACTGTGTACTTCCCCAACCTTGTTCATAGCAATATTTTCATTTATTTATGGGGTGTGTAGATTGCTGGCTAGGTCAGAATTTAGAGGCTATCCCTAACAGCCATGGAGATGCTGGTAGTGAGTTGACTTGTCTTCTTGAACCACTGCCACTCTTGGGGTGTAGGGTCACTCACGGTGTTGCTAGGAAGGGAGCTCCAGTGTAACAGTGAGAAAGTGGAAGGTTATGGTAGTGTTTCCATACAGCTGCTGCCCTTGATATTCCAGGTGATAGATGTCATAGGTTTGTGTGAGTTGTTCCTGCCCTATAACCTTCAAGGATCTATATACATGAAGCCCTCTCCCTTGTCCTTCTGATTTAATCTATATTGCCTTTCCCTATCCTTTCTACCAAAATACATCAGCTCAAACTCTCAGGCAGATGCAAATAATAAATTTCAATTAATGAAAGGAAGTCAGGCCCACATTAGATTTTCCTGAAAGCAACTAATAGTCCTGGGGATCGGTGCTTTTGAGATTCTTAACTTGGTGGTCGACTGGTGCACTGTAGTTAATCCCCTTTTAGTAATAGCAGTCAAACGTTGCTGAATAAAGAGGTGGACAGGCAAGAGATAGACGAGCTGCAGTGACAATTTTCCTGTCTTACTACCAGAATCTTCTAATATAAAAGCAAAATACTGCAACTGAAAGTCTGAAATAAAAACAAAATGCAGGGGAAACTCAGCACGTCTGGCAGCATCTGTGGAGAGAGAAACAGTGTTCATGTTTTGAGTTGGATATCGCTTCTTCAGAACTGAAAAGGGTGTGTAAAATTGTGTTTTTATGCTGTTGATGGAAGGGGTGGAGGAGCAAGTGGAACAGATGGTGAGTGCCCAAAGCAAAAGTCAAAGGGTGTACTTTTGGTGGTAAAGGAGCGATAAAGATATAAAGTAGCTGTGAAAGTGAGTCTGCTCTGCTGAGAGTAAAGCTTATGAAACACAAACAAGACACAAAGTAATTAAAATGAAGAATAACAGCCAGGCCCTGAAGTTATTGAACACAATGTTGAGTCCTAGAGGCTGTAGGGAAAATGAGATTTTGTTCCTCCAGCTAAGTATTGAGCTGCTAACATGAAGCAAGATGGTTTACTGCATTTTCTTTTTTATTTTGTATTGTTCTTTCTCGCCTGTGTTTTTCTGACTTCCCACACCTCTCCCCCTCAACCTTCCTAATAATCATCTTCACTGAACATGCTGGGTTCTGCAATACAGCTTGAAAAATGTCTGCTGTCCTGTGGTACCCTGACCAGCTATTCTTCATCGTTTGTGAGTGCTACTGGGGTTTTACAGCTTTGGAAGACATTAAAACTGCTTGCCCAATGTATCTTCCATGAAGAAAAATTGGACAGTCATCAGGAACAGACACTGGTCAACTATTTTCCCTCTACAACTTGAGAGAATGGTCCCTCTAGTGGAGAAGGACATAACTGTTGGTCATTAATACAAGATAGTCACCAAGAAGTGCAACAGGGAATTTAGAAGAAACTGGAATGTGGAACTCACGCCCACATAGGGGTTGGTGGAAGTGAATGGAACCCAAGCACTTAAGGGGCAGTTTGACAAATACTTGAGGGAAAAGGAAATGGAGGAATCATGGTAAATTTAGATAAGAGAGGGAGGAGACTCGAGTGGAGTATAAACTCCATGGAACCCGCAGCCTAAATGGTCTGTTTCTATGTTGTATATCTTACGTAAATGTAAACCTGGGAATGTTAAGGTTGCTTCAGCCCAAAATTTTAGGGAAAACTATCCAAAACGCCTTCAAGTGAGACTTATTTCTTTATGCATACAACACTGAACAATCAATTTGCTTCAGCAATTTAAAATATGATTAACATACCGGAATTATCTGCATGAAGTCATGTCCAAAGTAGAAGGACTGTTTTTTAAGAATTCTTTTGAATCTTGTAAATGCTTAAAATCACTTTAAAATTACTGCCAGTGAATCACTATCACCTTTGCAAGAAATAAGTGCAGTCTTTTGGTACAAGTCAAATGAATACAATTGGATTTGTTCTCTAAATGTTGATTATCTTTTAAACAATATTGATCATTGGTATGATATTAATCTGCTCCATTAGGTTTTCAATCCATGACTTGTTTCTGGATGGTGCTCATTCCTAGTGCATTCTGTGTAAGTTGTCCAAAAGTGTGGCCAAACTGATATTTGTATCCTTGAAGTAAATCAGAACAGGATCATCGTTTGCATTACAGTTACAAGTGCTTATGTCTATTACCTTGTATTTTAGAAATGCATTAAACAGTTCAACCAATAAAGTATAAATAAAATGATACAACTGCTCCAACTCAATCAGGGTCCAATGAACAATTAAAAAGTAATTTTATTTTACTTCTACTAAATTTGTACCACATTTTATTAAGAATTTATATAGACGAGAGCAATATGACGTATTTAGAAAAGCAAAATGCTGTGGTTGCTGGAGATACCCAGCAGACCTGGCTGAACCTAAAATAAATGAAATGTTTCAGGTCTTGCCCCTTTCCTGCATTTTCCAGCATTTTCTGTTGATAAAGACATATTGAGAACTTGGCATAGAAATAAAATGCTGACATGACTCAGCAGGCCAGACTAGCTTTTGTAGAGAGAAACAGATTTCATGCTTGAGATCAAGGTGGCCTTTCATCAGAGCTGAGACAACTTGAGAACTTGGTCATTGAGTCAGCCCTAAAACACTACTTAATGATCCTGAGAGCACAACCGACTCAACAACAAGAATAAAAATATCGATCTATCTTTACTGGTGCAACATTTAGTTGATCAGTGCTCATGGATTGTGCTGCCATGAGGCTTGGGACTTGCAGGTCCTGTCCTGTACTGCTGAAAGACTGTGCCCTTAGACTTACTGTCTCCACCTTAAGTGTCCTGCATCAACCTCTCGGCCTAACCTAAGAATGACTATTGTCTCACTATCTGAAATTCTGGTGACCTCTGTTATATACAGACTCATAGGTAAAGCTGATTCTTTGTAACACAGAGATAACAAGGTGTAGAGCTGGATGAACACAGCAGGACAGGCAGCATCAGAGAGCAGGAAAGCTGAAAATCTACTATCTCTTTGTAACACAGTTGCCTCTGCAGGTTAGTCTTATACATCATCATGTCATTAACATATGCTCTGTCATAAGTTCTGTCATAAATCAATGTCGGGACAAATACGTTTAAAAATAATGTCAAAACTGGGGAAAGTCACACTGCTGAGGTAGAAACTTCCAGGTTTGGGGTTAAGAAGGATAGAAGATTGCAAAGAGCTTTAATTTGTGTTTATAGCAATCCCATAGACTTCATTGCATTTAACTTTGGTGAATTTAAATTACAAAGACAGTTGGAACATGTGATTTGGAATAAATCTTTAACAGGAATCCTATCACTGGATCAGTATTTGGATGTTTAAGGTAAATGTTGCCTGAGAGATGAAGATGACAATATGAATGACACTTGGGACTTCAAAGCATTTGTCAATAATCATTGAGTGCTACAGTTCCGTCGTTTCTTCCAGGTGTTCAATATAAACTAAATCTGCCATCTTGTTATAGTATGGCAATCAAATATTTCCAAATAAACGAAAACAAAGTTACATGAGTGACAAAGGTATCAAACACCAATAGAATGTTTTTTTATTTACTCGTAGGACGTGAGCATCACTGGCTAGCTAGCTGGCTACACTTGAAAAGGTGAGCTGCCTCTTGATCTGCTGCAATCCATGTGCTAGATCCACAGCACTCTTTGGGAGGGAGTTCCAGTGACGATAAAGGAACAGAGATAATTTCCAAATCAGGATGGTGAATGGCTTGGCGGGTAACTTGCAGATGGTGGTGTTCCCATGTATCTGTTGCCCTTATCCATCTAGATGGAAGTGGTTGTGGGTTTGGAAAGTGCTGTCTCAGGATCTTTGGAGAATTTCTGCAGTGCAGCCTACAGATAGTACACGCTGCTGCTACTGAGCATCAGTGCATCCATAAACAATCACTGGGCTGCTTTGACATGTTTGGTGTCAAATTCCTGTGGCTGCATCAAGGTCAGAAAAGTGGCGTAAGGCAAGGGGATTGGCTGCTTAGGAACCAGTTTTAGGGACTGAGAGATTAGTACCAGGAGGGAGACAGTGCGCAAAGTCCTTATTTTTGTGGTTTGCAGTTTGTTCGCAAAAGAAAGAGAGAAAGATAAATCTGATTTGTTGAGTAAGGGGTAAGATTGAGTAATTTGTTCCTAGTTTATTTTTGTAGTTGATATGGTTCACAATGGCAGGAGAACCCAGCTCAGTGGAATGCTCCTGCTGCAATATATGGGAATTCAGGGGCACTTCCAGTCTCCACGGTGACCACGTACATAGGAAGTGTGTTCAGCTGCAGCTCCTGGTTGGCCACATGGGGCCTATCAGAGACCAAAGGGGCAACCTGTGTGCAGAGCCAGTGGATGCAATTGAAGTTTTAAATAAATATTTCTCACCTGTATTCATAGAAGAGAAAGACATTTTAGCTGGAGATTTCATAGTTGGGACAGTGAGGTTCTAGAGCATGGTAAGATTAATAAGGAGGAGGTATTAGATATTTTAATGGTATAAAGGTGCATAAATCCCCAGGGCCTGATAAGACACATCCCAGGCTGCTATGGGAGGCAAGGGAGGAGATTGCTGGTGGCCCTGGTAGCGATATTTAGTAGATATTTAGTATTTCTCTGGCTACAGGCGAAGTGCTAGACAACTGGCAGATAGCTAATGTGGTTCTTTTGTTCAAGAAGGGCAGCAGGGATAGACCAGGTAACTCTAGTCCAGTTAGTCTGACATCCAGGGAAATTATTGGAAGAAGTTTTGAAGGACAGGATTAATCAACAGTTGGAAAGGCAGGGATTGATTAGTTAGCACGGATTTGTTGGAGGGAGATCTTGTCTGACTAATCTAATTGAGTTTAGTTTAAAAAAGGTGATTAAATATATTGATGAAGGTAATGCAATTGATGTAATTTACATGGGCTTTAGTAAAGCCTTTGACAAGATACCACATTCAAGGATGGTCCAAAAGGTAAGGGCCCATGGGAATCCAAGGCAAGTCGGCAAATTGGATCCAAAACTGGCTTACAAATAGGAGGCAAAGGGTGATGGTGGAGGGTTGTTTTTGTTATTGGAAGCTTGTGACCAGCAATGTACCACAGGAATTGGTGCTGGGACCCCTGCTGTTTGTTAAGTACATAGCGATGTAGAAGGTATAATTACTAATTTTGCAGATGACATGAAAATTGGTGGTGGTTTTGATGGTGAGGATGATCTCAAGCCGCAGATTGATATTGATCGGGCAGAAGAATGGCGGATGCAATTTAATTCTGATAAGTGAGAGGTAATGCATTTTGGGAGGTCTAATGAGGGAAGGATATACACAATGAATGGTATATCCCTAGGGAGTATGGAGGAACAACGGGACCTTGGTGTACAAGTTCATAGATCCATGAAGATATCAGCTCAGGTCAATAAGAGTGCTGAAGACATACAGGATGCTTTCCCCTGTATTCTACACCCTGGCTAATGAAGGCAAGTCTTGTTACAATTTTATAAAACATTGGTTAGGCCACAGATGGAATACTGTGTGCAGTTCTGGTTGCTACACTATCAGAAGGACAGGATTGCACTGAAGAGGGTACAGAGGAGATTCACCAGGATGTTGCCTGTGATGAAAAGTCTCAGTTATGAGGAGAGACTGGATAGGCTGGGTTTGTTTTCCTTGGAGCAGAGGAGGCTGAGGGGGGATCTGATTGAGGTATACACAATTACAACAGGCATAGATAGGATAGATCATGAGAACCTTTTCACCATGGCTGACGTGTCTGAGGCTACAGGCATAGGTTTAAGGTGAGCAGCAAGTGGTTTAGACGTCTCTGAGGAAATGTTTTTTTCATCCAGAGGGTAGTAGAAATTTAGAATGTACTGACTGAGAGGATGCAGGTATCCTCACAACATTTAAGAAGCAGCTGGACAAGCATTTAAAATGCCAGGGCATAGATGACAATGGACCAGGCGCAGGTAAATGGGATTAGTATAGTTTGGTGTTTGTTGGTCACCATAGACCCAGTGGGCTGAAGAACCTGTTTCTATGCTGTATTACTATGTGTTGGAACTGCACTTGTTCAGACAAGTGGGGAACATTCCATCACACTCTTGTCTTGTGTCTTGTAGATGGTGGACAGACTTTAACAAATCGTAAGGTGGGTATCTCATTGTAGGATTCCTACCCTCTGACCTGCTCTTGTATCTATTGTATTTATATGGCTAGTCCAGTTCAGATTCTGGTCAATGATAACCCCCAGGATGTTGATAGTGGGGGATTCAGTGATGGTAATGCCATTGAATGTCAAGGTACAGTGGTTAGATTGTCTCTTACTGGAGATGGTCATTGCCTGGCATTTGTGAGGCGCAAATGTTACTTGCCTCTTGTCAACCCAAGCCGGATATTGTCCAGATCTTGTTGGATTTGGACCTGGACTGCTTTTGCATCTGAGGAGTTGAGAATAGTGCTTAATATTGTGCAAAAGTTAAAATAGTTGCAAGTTAATATTAAGAATGGTTGTCCCATAGAATTGTCTAATGAAGAAAGCATTTGTGGAATAAGTTATTGTGGAACTTGAATAAGTGAACTGTGCACCATCTAAGCTCACAGTGTTGCTCTACAGCAGAAGTGGTTGAAACTGTCTGGTGTTGCGGCAGGTCTTCCGAGCTGCAATAAGTGCTACCTTATAAGAGTTGACCATCACAATGCAATCATAGTCTGATGAGAGGAAGGCTGCCACAGTACCAGGGAAAGATAGTGGTGAAGAGTATAAATGGGTCCCTCATGACAGACTGGTACAAAAGGTGAAATCACATGGTATCAGGGTGAGCTGGCAAGATAGATACAGAACTGGCTTAGTCATAGGAGACAGAGTGTAGTTCTGGAAGGATGCTTTTCGGAATGGAGGGTTGTGACTAGTGGTGTTCCAAAGGGATCAGCACTGGGACCTCTGCTGTTTATGATCTACATAAAAGATTTGGAGGAAAACGTAGCTGATCTAATTAGTAAGTTTTTGCACAAATCAAAGTTTGGTGGAGTTGCAGATAGTGAGGAGGATTCTCAGAGAATACAGCAGGGTATATATCAGTTGGAGGCATGGGAAGAAAACTGGCAGATGGAGTTTAATCCGGACAAATGTGAGGTGATGCATTTTGGAAGGTCACATAGAGGTGGAAATTGTACAGTGAATGGCAGAACCCTTAGGAGTATTGATATGCAGAGGGATCTGGGTGTGCAGGTCCACAGATCACTGAAAGTGACAGCACAGGTAGGTAAGATAGTAAAAAAGGCCTATGGCATGCTTGTCTTCATTGGAAGGGGCATTGAATATAAGAATAGACAAGCTATGCTGCAGCTTTACAGAACTTTAGTTAGTCCACACTTGGAATATTACATACAGTTCTGGTCACCACATTACCAGAAGGATATGGATGCTTTGGAGAGGGTACAGTAAAGGTTTACCAGGATGTTGCATGGTATGGGGGATTTTAGCTATGAAGAAAGGTTGGATAGACTTGGTTTGTTTTCACTGGAACACAGGAGGTTGAGGGGCAACCTGATAGAAGTTTATAAGATTGTGAACAGCATGGATCGAGTTGAAAGTATGAGACTTTTCCCCAGGGTGCAGGGGTCAATTACTAGGGGACACAGGTTCAAGGTGTGGGGGGCAAGTTTATAACAGATGTGCAAGGCAGGTTTTTCACACAAAGGGTGGTGATTGCCTGGAACACATTGCTGGAAAAAGTGGTGGAAGCAGACATAATAGCAGCATTCAAGAAGCACCTGAACGAATACAAGAATAGGAAGGGAATAGAGGGACACAAATCCTGTAAGCGTAGACAGTTTTAATATGGAAGGGCAAAATGTGTTGGCGCAGGCTTAGAGGGCCAAAGGGTCTGTTCCTGTGTTATATTGTTCTTGTTGGGTGCAAGAGACAATCAAATGCATATCTGGAAAAAGGATCTTGGAATATGTTGAAAAGATTGGCACAGAGCTCAGAGTTATCAACGAATGTGTGTTCCAATAGAATTCTTCTAACAAACAATAACATTCTGTTTGTTGGCATTCCTTTCTGTACTTCATGCTAAACAGTAAAATGTGGATTCACATTTGACATGCTTAGGTTCTTCCTTCATAATAACTCAAAGAATTGCGGATGCTGTAAATCAGGAACAAAAACAGAAGTTGTTGGAAAAGCTCAGCAGGTCTAGTAGCAGCTGTGAAGAAAAATGAGAGTTAACCTTTTGGGTCTGGTGTCCCTTCCTCAGAACTGACCCAAATTGTTAACTCTCATTTTTCTTCACAGATGCTACCAGACCTGCTGAGCTTTCCCAGCAATTTCTGATTTAGTTTATGTTCTTCCTTCAGTTTGACTGGGCTGGATTATATGGGGCTGTATGGTTGGCGGGTGAATGCACCAACAATCCTGACAGCTGCCCTGCAGCTATTTGTCATGGATAAATAAATCCAGCTCATTACATAGTACAGTGTGGCCTGTGGAGGTGAAGCTATACCTTTTTCCAAAGTTCTCAACTTAGGGCATGTCAACCCCATGGGGTCCAATAAAAAGTTTCAAAGGATCTGACATCACACATCTACTGTATTGTGGCTTCTCTCAATACTATGAATCAGGCAAAATTAGGTCAAGGGCTTAAAGTTTGTTGTCAATTTTTTTGTGTATTTCAACTTGTAAAATCTTTGTTGCTTTTATTTAATTCACTGGAATTATTTAATAATGCACTATCGTATATGGTAGATATCCTAACTTCATAGTCCTGCATTTGCCCCACCTTCCTTAATAACTTGGCTTAACATACATCTATTAAGCAATCAACCTCAGTTTTAAAATTAACAATTGATGTTGCAACAATTGCCATTTGCAGGAAAGAGTTCCAAATTTCTACCAGGTTTTGTGCAAATGTGTTTCCTGAATTTCCTCCTAAAGTGACCTGACAAAGTTGCCAGTACCAGACTCCACAAACAGTGGAAATAGTTCCTCTCAATTATTCTACCGACACCCCTTAATTTATTGAAACTCTGGTCAAATTATCCCTTTCTAAATTCAAGACAATACAAACTCTTGCAATTAACACTTGAAATTAAGGTATCATGCTGGGGACTAGAATTGTAATAATCCCGAGTTATACCTGGTATATGGCCCGTATATTGAGGCATCATTCCCATTTCTGAAGGATAAACATCAGTAATCCTGGGTAGAGTTTCATTCTCTTTTACAGAGTTCTCAGTTGGAATTGATGCAGATTTTGTCTTATTAAGTATTTGGTCGAATTCAATCAATGCATAATTAGTCAGGGCAGGATAGCTGGTTCCAAGCAGAAATCGAGCTCGGGGTACATGCCCTTTGTACCCTGTGAAACAAAATGAACAGCTTTAAAATCAGCTCACCAAAAGATGGTAGTAAAGTCAGCAATCAATGTGCAAACTAATCAATTGGAAAACTAAGTACCATGTGGCAGACTGTTTAAATCATATATGGAAACAGAAAGTGTTGGAGAAACTCAGCAGGTCTGGCAGCATTTGCTTTGAAGAGGAGTCATAGAAACATAGAAGCTAGGAGCAGGAGGAGGCTATTCAGCCCTTTGAGCCTGCTCCACCATTCTTCACACTCATGGCTGATCATCCAACGCGATAGCCTAATCCTGCTTTCACCCCATAACCTTTGATCCCATTCGCCCCAAGTGCTATATCTAGTCGCCTTTTGAATACATTCAATGTTCTGGCATCAACTACTTCCTGTGGTAATGAATTCCACAGGCTCACCACTCTTTGGGTGAAGAAACATCTCCTCATCTCCATTCTAAATCGTCTACCCAAATCCTCAGACTGTGACTCTTGGTTCTGGATACACCCACCATTGGAAACATCCTCCCTGCATATATAGTCAAAGGGCGGCTCAGTGGCTAGCACTGCTGCCTCACCGTGCTAGGGACCTGCGTTCAATTCTACCCTCGGGTGACCCTCTGTGTGGAGTTTGCACATTCTCCCCATGTCTGGGTGGGTTTTCTCTGGTTTCCTCCCACAGTCTAAAGATGTGCAGGCTGGGTGGATTGGCCATGGATGTTTAGATTAGGTGGGTTATAGGGGGATGGCTCTGGGTGGGATGCTCTGAGGGTCGGTGTGGACTTGTTGGGCCAAAAGGGCCTATTTCCACACCGCAAGGATTCTATGGATCTATGCTGTCTAGTCCTGTTAGAATTTTATAAGTCTCTATGAGACCCCTCACCATCCCCATTTGTCCCAACTTCAGCGAAAACAATCCTAACCTAGTCAACAACAAAAACAAAGTTGCTGGAAAAGCTCAGCAGGTCTGGCAGATCTGTGAAGGAAAAAACAGAGTTAACATTTTGGGTCCAGTGACCCTTCCTCAGAACTGATGGTGGCTGGGAAAACATCAGTTTATATACAGAAAAAGGGGAGGGGATAGGGAAGGGAGTAAACGATAGGATAGAGCCTAAAGAAAAAGAAGAGCAGTTGGACAGACAAAGAGTTGATAATGATCAGGCTGGGAGGGTGAATAGTTGTTAATGGGAACTATCAGTGACTAATAACAGGTAGTGTGTAATGGCAGGCTATGTGGTAACAAGACCTGGTGTGTGGGGTAGGGGGCTGAGACATGGGAAAGTTTAGGCCCTAAAATTATTGAACTCGATATTGAGTCCGGAGGGCTGCTGGGTCCCCAAGCGGAAAATGAGGTGTTGTTCTTCCAGCTTGCATTGAGCTTCGCGAGAACACTAGAATACTGCAGCAAGCCAGAGACAGACATGTTGGTCAGGGAACAGGGTGGTGTGTTAATCTTTAGTCAATCTTTCCTCATATGTCAGTCCTGCTATCCCCGGAATCAGCCTGGTAAATCTTCGCTGCACTCCCTTGAGAGCAAGAGCATCCTTCCTCAGAAAAGGAAACCAAAACTGTACACAATATTCCAGGTGTGGCCTCACCAAGGCCCTGTATAACAACAGCACATCCCTGCTCCTGTACTCGAAACCTCTCACAATGAAGCCAACATACCATTTGCCTTCTTTACCGCCTGCTGCACCTACATGCTTACCTTCAGTGACTGGTGCACAAGGACACCCAGGTCCCACTGCACACTCCCCTCTCCCAATTTACAGCCATTCAGGTCGTAATCTGCCTTCTTGTTTTTGCTTCGAAAGCGAATAACCTCACATTTATCCAAATTAAACTGCATCTGCCATTGATTTGCCCACTCACCAAATTTGTCCAGATCATGCTGTAGGATCTCTGCATCCTCATCACAGTTCATCCTCCCACCTAACTTGGTATCATCTGCAAACTTGGAGATGTTACATTTTGTTCCTTCATCCAAATCATTAATATATACTGTGAATAGCTGGGGTCCCAGCACCGATCCCTGTGGCACCCCACTAGTTACTGCCTACCAATTTGAAAAGGATCCATTAATTCCTACTCTTTCCTCTCTGCCAACTAGTTTTCTATCCGTCTCAATATACACTTCCCCCAACCACATACACTTTAATCTTGCTTAATAATCTCTCATGCACGACTTTGTCAAATGCTTTCTGAAATTCCAAATATACTACATCCACTAGCTCCCCCTTGTCAACTCCACTAGTTACATCTTCATTGAATTCCAACAGATTCATCAAGCATGATTTCTCCTTCATAAATCCATGCTGACTCTGTCTGATCCTGCCACAGCTTTCTAAATTCTCCACTATAAAGTCCTTGATAATGGATTCGAGAATTTTCCCCACTACTGATGTTAGGACTATTGTCTATAATTTCCTGTTTTCTCACTGTCTCCCTTTTTGAATATTGGAGTGACATTAGCTACCCTCCAATTTGCAGGGACTATTCCAGACTCTATAGAATCCTGGAAGATGACCACCAATGCATCCACTATTTCTAGAACCAGTTCCTTAAGTACCCTGGGATGTAGATTATCAGGTTCTGGGGATTTATCTGCCTTCAATTACATTAATTTTTCCAGCACCATTTCTGTACTAATATTAATCTCCCTCAATTCTTCCCTGTCGCTAAATCTTGCATTGTCCAACATTTCTGGTATCTGATTTGTGTACTTTTTTGTGAAGACAGAACCAAAGTATGTATCCAGTTGCTCAGCCATTTCTTCGTCCCCTATTATACATTCCCCAGTTTCAGTCTGTAGGGGACCTGCATTTGTCTTCACCAATCTCTTTCTTTTCATGTACCTATAGAAATTGTTAGCGTCAGTCTTTATGTTCCTTGCAAGCTTACTTTCATACTGTATTCTCCCATTCTTAATCAATCCCTTAGCCCTTCTTTGCTGAATTCTAAACTGCTCCCAATCCCCAGACATATTATTTTTCTTGGCCAATCTGTATGCTTTTCCCTTGGATCAGATACTATCTCTAATTTCCTTTGTAAGCCATGGATTGACCCTCTTACCCATTTTACCTTTGAGCTAGACAGGTATAAACAGTTGTTGCAGTTCCCCCATGCGTTCCTTGAATGTTTGCCATTGCTTATCCACTGTCATCCCTTTAAGTAACTCTCCCCAATCCATCATTGAGTCATCAGTGAGCGCAGGTCCAACAACACTCAAAAACCTTAACACCATCCAGGTCAAAGCAGCCTGCTTGATTGGCACCACATCTAACAATGTCAACCAGCAATGCACAGTGACAGAAGTATGCAAGATGCACTACAGTAATTTACCAAAACTCCTCAGACAACATCTTCCAAGCCTACAAACTCTACCACCTAGAATGACAAGGTCAGCAGATGCATGGAATCTCCACCAAGTGCAAGTTCCACTCCAACCCACTCACTATCCTGTCTTAGAAAAATATTAGCGTTTTTTCCCTGTTATTGAGTCAAAATTTGGGAACACACTTCCCAACAGCACAGTGGGTGCACCTACACTTCAAAGACTACTATGGTTCATGATCACCATTTCCAGCATATGAGGGATGAACAATAAATTTTGGCCCAGGTAGTGATACCCATATCCAGTCAATGAATAAAAAAACATTGGTGGAAGATGTAGCCAGGTGGAGAGGCTGCATTAACTGGGAAGATGTCAACACTTCTCAGCTGGGTTTCCATTAAGGCCCTGATTTCAGTCATCCAGAATAAGTGTATAGATAGCAGGGTTTTTATTCTTGAATCATTGAGATTCTGAAGGGCGATGCAGAGGAGAATGGTGAGAGCTCAGTTGCAGAATGTACAAGGTCAGCAGTGGAAAGGGTGAGTCCTAAGGGAAGCAGATTCTGCACAAGGAGCAGAAAGGTCAATCAGGGAGGGAGATGGAACAGTTATGGCTGTTGCTCATAATGAGCCAGTCAGAGGATGCTAAGAAAGGCACAAAAGGGATCAATATAATTTTAAAACAGGGAGCAAAGTCTGGGACAAAAGTTCTGGATGGATAAGGGGCACTGGGAGAAGGAATGGGGAAAGTGGAAGGAGGCATGATCAGAGAAGCGAGGGAGATATGAACAATAACAAGAAAAGAAGTTTAAAAAACAGCAAAAGTGGAAATACATTTATGCTGCCAGACCTGCTGAGCTTTTCCAGCAACTTTGTTTTTGTTCCTGATTTATAGCATCCGCAGTTCTTTCGGTTTTTAATACATTTTTGGGCTTGTGCTTGGAGCGGCAACCAAAAATCACATCTGGATTGATAAGGAGATCACAAGTTTTTGTTTTAGTTACATAAACATGAGGAATTAAAAATGGATGTTATCTACCTGGACTTCAAGAAGGCCTTTGACAAGGTGCCACACAGGAGGGTCATGAGTAAGATAAGGGCCCATGGTGTTAGAGGCAAGGTACTAGCATGGATAGAAGATTGGCTGTCTGGCAGAAAGGAGAGAGTGGGGCTAAAAAGGATCTTTCTCAGGATGGCAGCCGGTGACAAGTGGTGTTCCACAAGGGTCAGTGTTGGGACCATAACTTTTTACTTTATGCATTAATGATCTAGATGAAGGGACTGAGGGCATTCTGGCTAATTTTGCAGATGATACAAAGATAGGTAGAGGGACAGGTAGTATTGAGGATGCAGGGAGGCTGCAGGAGGATTTGGACAGGTTAGCAGAGTGGGCAAAGAAGTGGTAGATGGAGTACAACATGGGAAAGTGCGAGGTCATGCATTTTGGTAACAAGAATAGAAGCATGGACTATTTTCTAAATGGGGAGAATACTCAGAAGTTTGAAGTGCAAAGAGACTTGGGAGTTCTAGTCCAGGATTCTCTCAAGGTAAACCTGCAGGTTGAGTCAGTAGTTAGGAAAACAAATGCAACTTTAACATAGAACATAGAACATAGAACATTACAGCGCAGTACAGGCCCTTCGGCCCTCGATGTTGCGCCGACCTGTGAAACCAATCTGAAGCCCATCTAACCTAAAC